GTTTCATCAAATTCCTTATGATTTGAGATATATTTACATTTTTGTCCGTTTTTTACTATTTTTAGTAATATTTTAGGAGTCTGTTTTGTTTAGGAAACAAATCCGATTTGATCTCAGATTTGATCAGTGGACTTTCCTAGTAATAATGAGTCTTTTTAGGAGTTTTAATATTTTAGGAATTCTTTTACTATTTTTGGTAGAGTTTGAGTCCTTGTAGGAGTATTGTTTCTTTTTTTTCTATTTAAGAAGAGTCTTGTAAGCCCCCCAAAAGCATAACTTTTGATTAATAAAATTTTGTTTTTCTTCAATATTTATTTCATGGATTCGAAGCTCTTCGTGGATTCGAAGATTGTCCTTGGTGGATTCTGAGGCTGCAACTTCCGCGCTACGTCAATTGGTATCAGAGCCTTGTTCCTCCGATCCGATGACAGGTGATGAAGCCCTTATTCTTCGAACTAAGTTCGACGTGCTGAGGTCCGATGTAGAGAAACTAAAGACCAATGGTGATCAGATGAGGGCTGCCATAGAGTGACATACGATGGCAGTGGAGCGTCTGAACCCGATGGGAGTTCAAAATCGTGTTGATGGTCGCCAACGACGTGATCTGACTCCATATGATGAATCTGACAGTGAGGAAGATCCCTATACGCCCGCACACCGTGGTGTTTATTACAGAGACCAAGGACGAATGGATAATTATGACGCTGGAGGTTTCAAGATGAAGATGGATCTGCAATCTTTCAACGGGCAGCTTCATATTGAAGAGTTCCTCGACTGGATTGCAGAAGTAGAGAGATTCTTTGAGTATATGGAGATCTCAAAAGAACGAAAGGTAAAATTAGTGGCTTACCGACTCAAAGGTGGAGCTTCAGCTTGGTGTGAACCTGTTTGTCTGAATCGATCTCATTAAGGAAAGCCAAAGGTCGATAGGTGGGAAAAGATGAAGAAGCTATTGAGAGCCCGTTTCTTACCAAGTGATTATGAACAAGTTTTATTCACGCAGTACTAGAATTGTAAGCAGGATGGAAGAACAGTGGATGAGTACACATAGGAATTCTATCGACTATCATCCCGTAACAACTTACACGAGAGCGAGGCCCAACAGATGTCTCGATATACAGGAGAGTTGAAGATGGCGATTCAGGATCGTGTATCTCTACAGCATACCTATACCTTGGCAGACACGGTTAGCCTAGCCGAGAAGGTGGAGCGACAACTAGGACAAAATAGTAAAGGTCAATGGGCAGCTTCCGATGGGTCGCACACGAGCTCTAATCGTGGTAAACAGTCCTAAACAGTTTCTGATCAAGATACTACAACGAAGAAGGGAAAGGGTCCAGCAACAACAATTGCAAAGAAGACTATACCCCCGAACCCATATGCCAAGCCTAACCCAATCAAGTGCTATAGATGTGAACAACCTGGTCATCGATCCAATCAGTGCCCTAAAAGAGGTGTTGTGAACATAGTGGATCATGAAGATGAATTTACAGACCGTGAAGAAGTTGAAGACTACGATGGTGGATTGGAACCTGATGATGATGGAGAACAACTCTCATGTGTTGTGTGGCTTCTATTGTTGGCCCCAAAGACAGAAGAGCCACCGTAGAGGCATAACATCTTCCACACGAGATGCACCATGAAACAGAAGATCTGTGATGTCATCATTGATAGTGGGAGCAGCAAAAATATTGTCTCTCGGCGCATGATGGAGAAGTTAGAATTAAAGACAGAGAAGCATCCCTCCCCTTACAAGATTGGTTGGATTCGAATGGGTAGCGACGTACAAGTTGATGAAGTGTGCCGGGTATCCTTTTCCATTGGCCGAACTTATATCCATGAGGCGTTATGTGATGTAGGAGAGCTGGATTATTGGTTTTGAAGGCTGAAGTGATTGGGTTTGAGTACCTTAAGGAGCTGTATGCAGAGGATGAAGATTTTAAGAATATTTAGGATGACTGTCTTCAAAATAAATCAGTCAAAGACTTTCATATTCAGAATGATTATCTATTTCATGGCGATCAATTGTGCATACCCAGAGTTCACTAAGAGAGCAGATAATTCGAGACCTTCATGCTGGCGGACTAGGAGGACACTTGGGACGTGATAAAACAATTACAGCCATTGAAGAACGATATTACTGGCCTTAGTTGAAGAAGGGAGTAGAAAAATATGTGCGGCGTTATCCAGTTTGTCAAGTTACTAAGGGACAGTCTCAGAATACAGGATTGTATACACCTTTACCTGTTCCTGATGCACCATGGCATGATATCTCTATGGACTTTGTGTTGGGACTGCCTCGAACCCAACGAGACATGGATTCTGTTTTTGTTGTGGTTGATAGGTTTTCGAAGATGGCGCACTTTATTCCGTGTAAGAAAACTGCAAATGCGAGCAACATTGCCAATCTTTTCTTTCGGGAGATAGTTCGCCTTCATGGAGTGCCAAAGTCCATTACATCTGATCGGGATTCTAAGTTTTTATCTCACTTTTGGAGAACTTTGTGGTAGCGATTCAATACTTCTCTTAAGTTTAGTATTGCCTATCATCCTCAAACAGATGGCCAAACTAAAGTGGTCAATCGCACCCTCGACAATCTTCTTAGATCCATCTCTGGAGATCGACTGAAACAGTAGGATCTTGCTTTGGCACATGCTGAGTTTGCTTATAACTGTATGGAGAATCGAACTACAAGCAAGGCACCCTTTGTGATTGTGTGTGGAAGGCTTCTGAATCATTATCTCGACCTTGCTCCATTGCCTAAGCTTCCTGGACAGAGTGTTCCTGCAGATCATATGATTAAAAAGGTACGAGCTATCCAACAGGAAGTGAAGGAGAAGATAGAACAGTCTAATGCTAAATATAAGAATGATGTTGATCGACACAAGAGGAAGAATGTGTTTGAAGAGGGAGACATGGTGATGGTGTTTCTGCGAAAAGAACATTTTCCCATGGGCACCTACAACAAGCTGAAGAATAAGAAGTATGGTCCATGCAAAATACTGAAGAAGATTAGCGAAAGAATAAGAAGTATGGTCCATGCAAAATACTGAAGAAGATTAGCGACAATGCTTATGTGGTTGACCTTCCTACAGATTTGGGGAGATTAGCGACAATGCTTATGTGGTTGACCTTCCTACAGATTTGGGTATTTCTCCTAGTTTCAATGTTGTATATTTGTTTGAGTATTACCCACCATAAGAAACAACTATTCATGCAAGTGTAAGCTCGGGGTCGAGCTCTTTTCAAGCAGGGGGGCTGATGTAGAACACACAACAGTCACGTTTATGTCAAAGTGGGACAGTCGCAAGCCCAAATACGAGCCTGGTCGAAGAAAATAACTAGTTTCGAAGAAACGGCCGTAACTTTCAAACCGTACATCAGAATTGGACGAATTATATATGAAAATCGACTATCTCGACAAGACGAAGCCATCCAAACCTACCCTTTCGGGTTCAGTTTGTGTTCTCCGTTTCGTCAAATTTCTTACGGTTTGAGAGATATTTACATTTTTATCTGTTTTTTACTATTTTTAGTAATATTTTAGGAGTCTTTTTGTTTAGGAAACAAATCCGATTTGATCTCAGATTTTACTGGTGGACTTTCCTAGTAATAAGGAGTCTTTTTAGGAGTTTTAATATTTTAGGAATTCTTTTACTATTTTTGGTAGAGTTTGAGTTCTTGTAGGAGTCTTGTTTCTTTTTTCTATTTAAGAAGAGTCTTGTAAGCCCTAGAGGCATAACTTTTGATTAATAAAATTTTATTTTTTTTAATATTTACTTCGTGGATTCGAAAATTTTCGTGGATTCGAAGATTGTCCTTGGTGGATTCCGAGGCTATAACTTTCGCGCTGTGCCACTTACTGTTCGTAGTGTTGTTCGTAGTGTTCGCACAATCTTGAAAGATATCACAGTAGTTATAAATGTTTCTATCAAAAGAAAATTTGAAATCCCCACAACAATCTAAGCATATAGTTATGACTTGTCAACTTGGTTGTTAAGTCGATCAAATCTTTAGGAAAATGCATAGCTTATCACGAGATATAAAGAGTGATATATTTTTTAAAATATAAAAACTTGTAGACCACAGCTATATCCGAAGATTATTCCATTCTGTTTGTAGTGTTCTTCTGCCTTTTTATTTTTTTTATTTTCATTTTTATTATTTATTACTTATTACTTATTTATTTTTTGCGCACGCGCGAGAAACCTTGGCTTACTACTGGCTAAGTAACCTGTGGGATACCGGGCCTCCGTTCACAGTCCAAATCCAAGTAAATAGCACAAGTGTCGCGAATGGCTAATAAATAGAAATTGTGAATAGACATGTCAAATATATGGATCAATCCTTAACCTTTTGAGCTACCACCCCAAACCCCAACTACTATTGCAGGGGTTTTTTCCGTCATTGTTAATTCTCTTTGCAGGGTTTCTTCCATGATTGTTAATTCTCTTTCTTCTCACTGTTCTTGCCCGCCGAAAGCAATGTAAGTGTGAAAATAGTAGCAAGTGCGCATGATTGTCATGACCAAAGGAAATAAAGTATTTTAAGAGAATCAGATCATGAGAGCTAACATCAGATAAGAGAATTATATGATGAAACCTGATTAACTTTTACCAAATATATTCGTCAAAATTATTCTTTGCCTATCAAAACGACTACATATTTTGCTATGGAGGTTGTTTAATCATGCTTCCTCTCGATGAAAATATTACGAGGGTGGGCATTCTTGTTACTTTAGCTTCACTACCACATAATTGATCTATTGCAGAGGTTAAGTTGCAACGGTTTTAACTGTCGCGTTAGATATCTATGGTAACGGTTTGTAATGCCTAATACAACAATTTATAAAAAAAATTTTCCTGGGCTTCATAATTGTTCTTGGGCTTAATAATTGTTTTTAAAGCCCATGCCCCTGACCGTTTAAACGAAATCTCTCTCTCTCTCTCTCTCAAATCCTCACGGAAATCCCTAAGCCAAAAATTTTCGCTCCCTAAAATCGCCGTGGCGTCATCGATCTCATCACTGAACTCGTCGCCGTTTCATCTTGGATCTCATCTCCAATCTCCTCTCCGATATTATCTTCATCGTCGAGCTACTCTCGTTGCTTTTTCCACCGAGGGCGAGCACTGAATCACAATGGTAGGGAGCTTTCTAGGGTTTTCTCGACACATATTTTCTCACGATCTCTGATCAAATCAGGTGGTTAGATCTTTCCTAGTGAAGATCGAGAATAGAATTTGATTTCAGGTGGCCTTTTGTGTTTCTAATCTCTTCACTTTTTTGGCATTGAATTGTTCGATTCCGAGCTCAACTGTGCTCCTACTTAGCTTTTGAATGTTGATGCGGGGACTGGAAACCCTAGTAGTCGTTTTGTTTTTGAGCCCCAAATCTCCTACTTAGCGTAAATTTGATGTGGGTATATAAGAGTAGTGATACCCCCACCCCCACCCTCACCCCCATGTTTCTTTTCCCCCCGAAAATGGGTTCAATTTGATTTATGTTGTTCATCCACAGGTTTGAGGAAGTTGCCTTCAGCTTTAACGGGGGGGAGGATTCCACTGTAATAGTTTCTTCATGTTTGTTTGTTTATGTGAAGTTCAGATTGGCATTATTGAAATTTGTAAATTTGATTCTAATTAATTTAGATGCAATTGGTTCTGCAGGTCTTGCTGCATTTACTACGAGCTGGATATTATTTGCATAAAGAGAAAACGAAGCAATCCAATGGAAATCAGTTGGATTCTATTCCAGAGTGTAGAATAAGGACTATCTACTTTGAAACTCCCTGTGCATTTCCTAAAATCAATTCATTCACTTATGAAACAGCCTCTAAGTAAGAATGCTATATTAATTTTCTTAAATTTTGTGAAATGCGAGATTATTACTTTTAACAATGAACTGCTGATACTTTTGGCAGTTATGACTTGCAATTGGAAATTATTAGCCTTGATTTCAAGTCTGGGTTAGAGACTCTAATGAAGGAAAAACCTATCAAAGCTATTTTTCTTGGTACACTAATTGGCGACCCTAATGCGGTATATAATTTGTTGAATTATTTCCTTTGTTAGAAAGATTGTGCTTAGTACTTTGAATATAAGGTTGTTGAGTATTAAACATATTACATTGATCTTGTAGGTTGGCCAAGAGCAGTTCTCTCCTAGCTCACCAGGATGGGCCCCTTTCATGAGGGTGAATCCTATCTTGGATTGGTCATACAGGTTTTATTTGGTTATACTTGTATATTTATCAGTTGTTAACTCTTATTCTTGTATGTCCTCTTTCTGAGAAACACTGGTCATGTTATTGTATTTGTAGGCATCGAAAATTACCTATAGGTCTCCACGAACAGCTCAGTGTTAAGAAATGACGATGAACGTCACCATCTGGTTCACAGAAGCTTGATTGATGTCGGTGAACGCTTGAAGTAAACCGACGAACTACGTGAAGCAACGGAGTTTCAGAATAACGAGACACGAACTGATTGGGAACCTCGTATCGTTCACACGACAAAATACCCTTTGTGTCTCATTTATTCCATGGATGATTTAATCATTGGAGCTTATAGAACTCCTCGTCGGCTTTCCAATGTACTTTGAATCACTCAAATCCGAGTTCGGACGAAGAATTTATGACGGAAACGATCAAACAGGCATCGAAAATGTCTCAGGCTAAATTGAGACACCTAAGGTGTCTCGGACAAAGCCGAGACACCCTTGGGTGTCTCGGCCAAGGTCGAGACACTCTAGGGTGTCTCGGCCCAGGTTTAGACACCCTGGGGTGTCTCCAACGCAGAAATGGTCAGTTAGGTGGTTTTAACCACCCGAAACCCCCTAGAGCCTATAAATACAGCCCCGGGTCCTCATTTTTTTAGATCTGGAGTTTTAGAGAATTGGCGAAGCCCTGCCGAACTGAAGAGTGATCGAGTTCTTCAACACAAGAGATCGAGAGTCGTCAGATTTGCATCACCCGCATCCGATCCTTAGTATTATCCCGTTGTGGTAATTCTAAGAAGAGCAATTATCTCGCTGTTGTCGAGATAAGCGCTTCTGCTTCTAGATTCCTTCGCGGATCGACGAAGTTCTGGACTTGATCTGATTGCCAGGTAGTCCACGGATATCAATGTCCCCGTCACCGGCTAAAGACCCACGCAAGTAAGAAACGACGAACGGATCTTGCGTTATTTTCGAAAAGTTGTAATCTTTCATTTTCTTATTCTTTTTATTGAATATCTTGAATTCTTTGTAAGCGATCCAGATTATAATGAATTTGACAATGAAGGCAACTTTCTCCGAAAATAAACTGGCGACCATAGTGAGAGCCAACAGCCTTGCTGCCGAGGCTGTCGTGACGCAACCGGCATTCAAGATCCGGGTGAATGAAGAGATCGAATATGAATTCGATCAACAAAAGTTTGAAGAGTACCTCTCTTCCTCCTCCTCCAGATCCGCCTCTCCAAACAGGCGCAGGAAGACCTCCTCTTCCAGGAACACTCGCAGGACCTCAGGGTTGAAGATCCAAGATCCCCTCGCCGCTGCTGCACTCGTGCCCCGTGACGTCCCTGCAGCATCCAAAGAGGTCAAAGCTGCAGATCCGGACCTCCCCTCCGCTGTGAAGGTAGCTGCTGAAGGTGCTCCAGCTTTGTCGAAGAGGGCGCGCCAAAGACGTGTTAGACCCTAGAGAGGGGTGATTAGGGTCTTATGCTAATCTAATCCGATTAAATGCCAATTAAAAACTAATTAACAAGTTATCCTAGAAAGTATAAAAAACAACAATGTATATGAGCTAGGATAAGCAATATGAACAACAAGATATATCCTAACAAAGAGATATATGCAATGTATATGCAAGGATATATAATCTCAAGAGTAAACAATCTAAACTAGATAGTGGACAATATAATCAACAAGCAATATACAAAGACGATATAAGATATGAACATAAAAGTAAGTGCGCCAATGCAATCACAAACAAACAATATGATTACGGAGTTCGGTCCTCACGACCTACGTCTCCGCTCCTCACCTCGAGGAGATCTCCACTATCACAACCGGGTTTTCTACGTTCACCCGAACAACGTTTACACCTCACAATACAATCACTATGCAATCACACCTCACACACTAAGTGTTGGTCCTAGCCCGTGTCCTCCTCCTCAAGTGCTCGGTTACAACCTCTCCCTAGGCACGTCAACCGACGCCACTCCTCTTGGATTCGACCCCGTCTCTCACCACACACTTCTCTCGGTGTACAAGTGTATTACAAGTGAATCCTCACAATTAGGCTCAATACAAAGTATTTGTTCTCTACCACAAACCAAACTCTTAAACACACTTAGAAAACCTTAAACAAACTTGTAAAAACTCTTTAAAACTTTTTCTCTTGGTTAGTTGAAAGATGACAACAATGAGGTATTTATACCCTCTCAAAACTCAGCCAAAACTCCCAAAACAAAAGACCAAAAACACCCCAGCAACGGTAACAAAAATAGCCGTTGGAAGCAGTCAGAACGAGCGGCGGTCGACTGAAGAAATTCGCGGTCGACCGACAGAAACGATCGGTCGACCGACGGAAATTTCGGTCGACCACTATCCAGGTCAAACACGAGAAAAACACCAGCTGACTTATCCGGTCGACCGGTGCGGTCGACCGAAGGAAGCTCTCGGTCGACCGCGGCGGTCGACCGCAAACTCTCTGCTGCCCACTGACCAAAGAACACATGAACGGTCGACCGGTACGGTCGACTGAAATCTGATACTAGAAAACTGACACAGCAGAAAATGTTTTTCTGATTTTAAAACACTGTTTAAAAATATTAAATAAATTCCAAAAATATAAAACTTTGAGGAATGGTTGTAGACATGATAATAAACATGCTACAGTGACTGGTTATCAGAAAGGACCTCCCAAATGAAAAATATCATCATTTTACAAAATAGTCCAAAACTTGAAAATATGAGATACTTGAATTTTGATGTTTTGACATAAACCAACTTTTAAAACTTTGTAAAATGTTTTTATAGACTTAGTAAAACATGTATAAATTGTTATTGAAGTCTACAAACTAATAAGACAATATTTTCACAAAATTTCATATTCTATGCAATAAGTACTAAAACACAATAGAGTATGTAATATCATAAAAACCAAAACACATGTATGTATATATATATATATATATATATATATATATAAAAACTTATGTATATATATATATATATATATATATATATATTATATATATATATTACTATAATAATATATATATAATATATATATATATATGTATATATATATATATATATATTAATATGTATTAATATATAATATATATGTATATATTATATATATATATATATAACTGTATATATATGCATAGAAACCAAAATATAATATATATATATATATATTATATATATATATATAAATATATATAGATATATATATATATATATATATATATATATATATATATATATATATATATATATATATATAGATATATATAATATATATATATATATTATATAACATATATATATGCATAGAAACGCAACAACTTATATATATATATATATTATATATATATATATATATATATATATATATATATACAAAGAAACCAATAAATGTGTGTGTGTAGATAATTGAGCTTAGAGTACTTAACACACATAATATAAATTTATACTAAATATATCCAAGCTTGATGAAGGTCTTTAATGAGCATGACTTGGTAAACTTTGCGGATGAAGCTTGAACTTGATCTTTAACTTGAATTGTATGTTTCTTCACTCCACAATTCCGCCAACCTTCATTTGATATGATCGTTGAAGCTCTATTCCGTCCATCCTCCAGCAACGTTGTTTGTCTACAATACATAGGAAAACACAAATACTAGACAAACAACATTAGTGGTAAATTGTTTGTTAAACATCATCAAAACAAGAAGGCCAACAAGACGGCGTCAACGCCTTGCGCAACAATTGGCCAAGCCCGCAGAGTCGATGGACGGGATCCGCTACACAGAGGATCTATAATCAAGGCAGCGCCAAGAACAGCAACGGCGAACCGCCAACCTCTCCTCTAAGGCAGAGACGAACGAATGGGTCCGCGTCAAGAAGACTCGCTCCACTCTCGAAGAGCGAATCAAGAAACGCCGCGCATTGCTCGCGCATGCCCGAGTCCTTCTGCAGAAAGCGGAAGAGATGAAGAAAGAAGAGACGGTCAAGAAGCCGCCTAGACATAAACAGGTTTGGGTGCCAAAGACAAGACCAGCACCTAAGACAAAAGTAGACGAAGTTACCGTCCAACCTACTTCAAATTCAGATCCCGTTTCCCCTGTCCCCGCACCTCCGACGGAGCCAGGTAAGAACGTAGGTCCTGCAAGATCCAAAGTTCCTTTGAAAGGTCGCCTCGGTCCTTTACCGGAAGATCGAGGTAAAACACCTGTCAAGGAGCGATTGGGACCGTTGAAAGGTCCCCAAGCAACAAACCAGACTGGGGGTCGTACCAATCCCCCTAAGAAAGATAACAAAGGAAAAGCCCCTATTACCGACCGCATTGGATTGCGGGGTGAAGTTCAAGAGCCCGTTAAGTTTTCACGCTCGCAAAAGCGTAAACTTGAACGAGCGACTTTTGAAGACGCTAATAAAGCGTCGTATCCCCAGAGGGAAACATATTCGTCTGATGACGATGATGTTTATACCTGGGAGGTCGTGCCAACACTCTATGGGTTGCTCCAGTTATCAAACTGACGAGTTGTACTATAGGGCCGGGGGTATGGATAAGTCTCGAAAGAGAAACGTTCGAGACACAGATTCTCGTTGTCCATGTGCCAACATAATCAAGGCGGTATTATTAGAATGCTGCTGTTCTAAAACCCCAAGGAGAGTTTCGGTGTTCGAAAGAATTTCTACCAAAATGCCCGAGACCAGACCAAGACACTTCCGTAGAAGGAAACCTACTCTTCAGGAAGATGAATTTCCAGAAGTGTCCGTCAATATGATCGGAAGAGGAAAGTCAACACGACACTTTAGTCCGGATCAGTTCACTGAGGTATCCCAACATATGACTCGATTGCGATCGGGGACCAGTAGGCGAAAGAACTACCAAAGAATACAGAAGGGACTTCCTTCAGAAGAAGAAACTTCGGAAGTTTGCTCGGATGCCGGTTCGGATGCTTGCTCAGCAATGGCTTCTGATGACACCGCTTCAAGTACAG